TGAAAACTGAATGGAAATGGAAGCCTCAGTCTTCAACTAAGGACACCAATTCCCCACATTCAGTTGTCCTCTATCCCTGACAATTTTCCTTTTAATTAAAACGCAGCCAGATAGGCAGAATCTTGGGAGACATAAAGCAGTTACATGATTCACTCAACCATTTGTATGCATGTGTGACCTATTTAGCTTTTAAAATCCTATTTAATGCCAAAAACTACATTAGGGAATTCAAACAAAAGCTCACAGGGAGTCCCATAATGAGACTGTTTTGATTATTCCAGTGATTAGCCCATTTCCTCTCTCCTTAGTAATTTCATTTAGAACAGTATTCATTTTAAGAACAAGAAGATTTTTTTTTTTATTGCTTTTCTAGTTTGCTGTGAAATTGGCAACTGGCCAACCATCTGTGAGACTGCAATTATTACTATTACTTAAAGTTTATCAAACCTCTTCAGGTACCTTGGAAGTAAGTCTCTTTGCCTGCAAAGACAAGGCCAAGAAAGGCATGAATGAGACTCAACTTTGTACAAAAATAGTTATTATCATCCCATATTTCAACCTATTAGCCCAAAGTCCCAGAAATGGTGTTTGTGAACACTTTTGGGAAAATACGGAGTGAAGAATGGTTTTGATCCACTGCGATAAGGCACCTACTCTTCAGTGCACAGGAATCTTTTTCTTCCTCCTGTGATAAATATGCATTCACTCACCACGCCTGTATTTGTCATTCGGCATTTCTTGACATGTGTGGGTGTGTTAGCTCCTACTGTTATTTACTACTGCATAACTCCAGCAGTACTGCCTCCTTTAGTCTCACATGTTTCTTTTTCTTTTTTACACATTTAGCAATGGAACGGTGGTGAAGATGTTTGAGATATTAGCATTGAGACACCTCTCATTTCTCCATTATCCTGGCCACAGATGATTCCAACAGGAGGTCTGGAGTAAGATGCGAGCTGAGACGAGGCCAGTGCTGCTCTCCAGGACTGAGAATCCACGAACAGCCTTGACCACTGTGGTCGGGTGGGGGCTTCACCCTGCTGTCCGCCTCAGACAGTTTCACCTAGTGGCAGGAAGATGTGGCTGTTCCCTGTGCTGCCAGCCTCCCGTGGTGAGGAATGTACTAGTATATTTCTTAAAGCCAGGGTAACCACACATCCAGGCTCACTGGGGATGGACCGTGTCTACACCTGTTGTCCTAACTACCAAGAGTGCCCACTTTCACTCTAGACAGTGTAAACAGATTGGATAACGAGTTTCATGTTCCACCTACTTAATGCCCTCTTGTAGCTCTCCCATGTATTAGGAGACCTAACACTTAAGTTTTTAGCCTGCACCTTCAGTTTGGGGCAATATGTTTAGAAAGATTACTCTCCATAGTATAAAGTATTTGTCTTTATCTACCACGCAATTACCCTTCAGACCTTAGAGGATCGGTCCCAGCTCTAGTGCTGAGGCTTGAGGAACAAGCTCATTTTCATGCTTGTGTAGATTTTAGTCTTATCCACACCAGGCCTTTGTCCGTCCAGATGCAAGGCCCTAATCTTAGAGCCTATTCCCAGAGACGGCCGTCCTCTGATCATTAGTGTTACTTGTTACTCAGGCTGCTGTCATGTTTAGAGGCCACTTGTCTGGCTGTCTGAAAAGTGATGCACAATGGCTTGTCCTTTCAGGCACTGATGAAAGGCCATCTGGTAAGGGCAGGGCTTTCCAGCTGTATTATAATTTTTTTTAAATTAAACATTTTGGCCATAGAGAGAATAAAGAGCAGAGACCCTGCCTAGGTGGCCCATAGTGAGCCCTCTGTTTTCACTTACAGGGAGAGAAAAGAAAGAAGAAGAAAAAAAAAATAAAAGAAAAGAAAAAAAGAAATGAAGGATAAAAGAAAGATCAGTGTACACAAGAAGCAATGTCATAAAGTTTGAAATACTAATTGCAAGTGAAGAAAGAACTTTGCTTTGCTTTGTTGTTTCATAGAAACTCAGGCCTGAACCCAAAGGGCCAAATATTTTCAGCGATTGTTAGAAATACCTTAGAAGGGTATATTATAGTGAATGTGCTGATTTCTTCCCTTCCCCAAACAGAAATCTTACAGAAAAAATGTACTCAAGAGTAGTAGAAGAAAAAAGGAACATTGTGTAATAGAATATCTTACCCTTGTACTTTGTATTTATGGTTAGATTTCATTTAAAAAAAAAACACACGAGTGCCCTTCATGTGCAAGGTGTGCTACTGGGAACTGGAGATAGATAAACTGGATCTGATTTCCGCTTCTGTTGTTTCAGACATGACTATTTGTTTTCCTGTGGAACATCAAGATGATTTAACAAATTACAGCCCTCCTGCTGAATTTTACTTGTGTCTATTTTTCTCTCGTGCTAATAGTCACAAAAATCATTTGAATGCTTCCTTATCTTACCTTTGCAAGAACTTTCAAGTATACAGGAAATGCAATTCTTTCTCTTAAGCAAATTATAATTCATTAGGGAAACAGACGAAGCATGACATATACATTTATTATATGTACTATGTGGACCCAAATCATTTGGAATTGTTGGATGTTTGGACATAGGGCTGAAGTTCAACTTTATTCCTCTTTGATCAAAGGTCTTACTAAATAATAGTAAATACTTTAAGAAAAGATTTACATTTTTCAAGGAAAAAACTTTTTGAAAACTGTGATGCACATTTTTTCAGTAAATTATTTATGTTAAGTAGATGGTGTTCGATTTATAAAAGCAGATCATGAGGGATCTCAAGGTCACTTTATAAAGCACTTAGTATGCTGCTGTTCCTTTTTTCCTGAGAAATGAATGTTTTTCTTTAAAAAATATTTTTTAATATAGAACTCAGATACAGTCTTCTTGGCTTATTTACTTTTTGAGGACTGATTGTGAACACAAATGACAAGAACATGTAAATTTATATATACTCTACTCTAGGTACCTAAGGGATTGCAGGGTGACAGAAGTTAGTGTGTAAGTTCTGAGCAGAAACGTGAACAGTCCCTGCTTTATAAATGTTGTGCTCTGGAAGAATGCTCATCCTTTAGGTCTGCTGTTGTGCCAAGAGCAGTAGTGTACTCAGAACTTTCTTCTTTATGAGAAACTGTTTCTTAAGGGTAAATTTATATTGTCCTACCTGTGTTTTAAATGTGAGCTTTGAAAAAACAAAACAAAAATAAAAATAAAAATAAAAATAAATAAATATGGGCTTGGAGGTTGTACTGCCTTCTTAAGTACCCAGATAAACAAGTTTTTAAACTGCAAAATTAAACTGTTTAATTTGGCTTTTCAAGGCCATAACTCTGAGACCAACTGTGCCCTTCCTAATTTGGAAATATTTTCTCTCTGGTTTTTCTTTTGACATGTACCAGCTATCTACTTTCGTTGCTATTTCTAGCATCCCCAGGGAGCTGCTTCCATGGTTGTCATAGTGCAGACAAACACACAAGAAAACCAAGAACTCCGTGCTTTCATAAAGCATTTATTTTTATTTGAAAACATTATACAGGCATTACATTGCCACAGCCAGTCCATAGGGGAGCATGCAAATATCAAAAATGGACAGTTTCTTCAACTTATCGGTGTAAATTTCTTTTTTGGTTCATATTTTCCATTTGCAGTGTCAGAATTAGTGTGCTTTGTTATGTGGCTTAACAATAGAATCCTACCCATGGGGTAAAATCTGTACTGGTAGCTAGCTGGAGACTACTAAATGGTTATAAATCAAAAACAAACCCAAAACAAATAATACTACACGCTTGTCAAAAGGTTAATAGCACGAGTTAGCAATATCTAAACTAAACATTGAAACATTTTCATGGGACACAGTGGTGCAAATTTTTCCATTGCTTGGTCTACCTGGTTGTGTATTTCAGAGTTTGAAGCCGTGGGAAGGTAGGACCAAGGCAAGCTCTGTCCCCAGTGCAAGTTTTCTTCGAGGAAGTGAGAACCATCACTTATCTCTAGAGTTTGGGAGAGCAGTGGTTTGCTCCTGCCCAATCATATTCTATACAAATCGCTAAAGTCTTATTTGTGGAGAAAAGATTGGTGGTGAATTGAAAAGCAGAAATTTTTGCTGGTGTCTACTGAGGCTATGAAATCTCAGAAAGTAAAACAGCTAGAGTTAATGTCCTAATCCCTTTTCTCTCCCCACTCCCAAAGGATCAATGTTTTTACACAGAGAAAGAATTTGTTCTTGGCTCCTTCCCCCCCCCCCCCCCCCCCCCCCCCCCCCCCCCC